AAAGGGCCTGCGCTGGGTCCTGTCCCTGCCCCACTCCAGGCCAAACCGGGCCTGTCCGAGTGCCCCAGCCCCCAGCGGGGGAGCAGCTGGCCCGTCCTCCCGCCAACCGGGAGGGCTCAGCTGGCACCCTGGGAGGGAGATGGAGAGGCAGCTACCGACGGCTGCTTTGCGGGGGAGGGGGCGCTTCTCTGCTGAAGCTCAGCGCCAAAGCTTCCCTGGCAAGCAGCATCACCAAGAACAGAAAACCCACAAGCCCCTGCGAAAATCTGGGGGAGAATGGGAATAGGAGGTTCCTCTCCAGGCACACACCACAGCCCCAACACAACCACACATGCCGCCTGGCTGCAGAAGGCAGGCCGGGGTCTCCAGAGGGCCTGAGCAGCTGTCTGGGCCAGTCTGGAGAGCAGCTGCCTTGGCTCCCGGCCTGACGTCTTGCAAGGCCCTTTCCCAGCAACTCCCCCCCTGCTCTGGGCAGCCCACAGCTGTCCTGGGGCCTCCTGCAACCAAGCAACCGGGCAACCAGGGCCAGGCTGACCTCGCACAGCCTCCTTAACTCCTTCAGGACTGGAGTGGGCTATAAACATTGTTAAATAAGTCAATAAGCAACGGGCATTCTCCCTCACCCACTTTCTCTCTACCCCTTCGCCCCTCACCCCTCCCTTTGCAATCTGACCTCTCTCTGTGACTGACTGACGCAAAGCATGGGAAGGTGAGAAATACATTGTTTTTTAGGCATAAAGGGAGAAAGACAGTTACATACAATGTCACAAAGAGAACAAGGAACGATTCAGATTAGAGAAGCAGGAAGGCAGCCGGATTCTGAGGGGAACGATGCAACATTTCGGCAGCCGGGGAAGGGGGCTTGCGGAAAAGTCTCCAGCAAACAGAACCAACGAGATGCAAAGATTTTGGGTGAAATGGAACTGAAGGAAACCCGGAAGAAGCATTCTAGAATTTACATGGAAACAATGATGATACTGTCTTTCAAAGAGTGGAACTGAAATCAATGCTGTGAATGTTAGTGCCCTGGGAAAACCGGATGAAAAGGGAGTTGAAGGAGCTGCGAGTACTTTGAAAACCAGTAAGGCTGCAGGTGTAGATCTGGGAAAAAACAATCTGGCTTAAAACGTACACGTGAAAATGGCACGGCACGGCATCTGTGCCAACACCCAGAAAAATGCTTTTAGGATTCCCAATAACAGGGAAAGGGAATACGAGTGAGTGCCAGAGCTCTGGGGGATTTGAAAAGGGCTTGGCAGAGTTGCCATCCAAAGGGTTCAGGAGGTCACAGCGAGTGCCCAGACCAAGGTTTGCTCTTCAGCAGGACATTGAGAAATACGTGAATGTCAGCCTCAAAACCTGCTCAGATTGTTGATTTGGAGAGTGTTCACAAGAAAGCAAACAGGCTTGAATGAGGTCAGGTTTTGCCCAATTACAGAGCTGAAGAGGAACACTGAATGGGCGTAAGGTGGGAGTGAGAGTACGTGGGCTGCTTAGCAAATGATTTAGCACTGAGCAGGGAATCAGATGGGCAGCTTCCTCTTGAGATCCACGATGGATTATACCTGTGGCAACAGTTGGGCTGAGTTGCTGGGGTCACAACTGCGTGCGTACTTCTGAAAGCGGCAGACCCAAATGGTCTGCGGGGAACATTGCACAGCTAGTCTGATGGAAAGGGGGGTTGTATTTGGCAGGGAAAATGGAGGGAACGCTTGAAAGTTATACACGGGAGAAAAACCAGAACAAGCAGGTGGCTTTTGCGTATCTTGGTAGAATACTGGCTAGAGATGTTCTAACTAACACCGTTCCAAGGAAAGAACAGGGAACAGAGCTGGGGTAACCTAGTTCTAGATGGGTTTTGTTTTCTGATCTCATGGGTTGAATTTCTTGGCTTATGATTTCTTGTTCCTTTTCTGTGCTGTGTTGCAACGCTGCTCTCCCCTGAAGGATGCGAAGTCATGGCCACAGGAGGAGGGCAGGATTCAGCAGGGGAACAGCCTTTGAAGCAGCACTGAGGGAGGTGGGCAGGGGGGGGCTCCGGGTCCAGCTGGGGTCTGCAAAACATGCGGGTGTGTTGCCGATTCAGCCAGAGTCCCAGCACAACTTAACAGTTTGGGTTTGCAATTGTGTAAGCATATGACTGCAATCAAGGAAAGACTGTGCAATAACCCAATGGAAGGGTCTCTTTGTCTTTGTTGAGTCCCGGAAGCGAGGGGCCCCAGAGACCATCCGGCTCGGGGGTCTCCACATTAAAGCTCCCAGCGATGTGGCCTCTAGCCCCACCCAAGCACCTTTTGACGGGCGTATAATCGAGGGGAGCTGCTGCTTCGTGTGGCTCGGAAACCACGCTCTCGCCATGCAGCCTGCAACTGGATTCCTCCTGAGTTTGCCCTCAGCTGCCGTGGCCTCAGACCAGCCCTGATGGATCTGGCCTCGGCCTTCTCCTCCCGGTAGCTGTCCGGGGGCCTCTGATGCTTGCCGGGAGAGAAGTTCCCCTCACCTCAGGGGCCCCTTACAAGACGACGTTCAAAAGTGCACCCTCAGCATCTCTGGGGCTCTGACGGCTGTCCCTTTCAGCCCAGGGCTGGGCCTCGGCCTCAGTTCAAGGGCACTGCTGGGCTTTGCCTGTTTCCTGGACCAGGCCCCACCATTTGCAATGATTCGCATCTCTTGGATGCCAAGCAGCAGCTAGAAAACAAGCGCCAATATCCAGGATGGAACAGATACCCCCAAATCCTCCATCTAGCCAGGGGAGAGACAAGGAAACAAGGGGAGAGGAGGGGGCTGTGCTGGGAGAGCAGGGCGAAATCAAGGCAGGCTCTCTCAATTCCACCGAGGGGGCCGGGGCAGGGGCCTCTGATGGACCCTGGGGGTGGCAGCGTAGTCTGGCGGAGGGGCAGGCTCTCCAGGGAATCCGGGGGTATTGCCTGCCCC